CTTGAAGACTGCCAATTGGGGGGGGGGACTCACCACCGCCCCCCCACCGCCCCCAGGGCAGCCCATGCCACTGCGGCAGGATTCTGACTGTCAAAAGGTTAGATCATAAGAGACGCCAGTGTTGGATCAGGCCAAAGGCCCATCCAGTCCAACACTCTTCTGTGTCACACAGTGGCCAGAAATACCAGGTGCCATCAGGAGGTCCAGCAGTGGGGCCAGGACATTAGAAGCCCTCCCACTGTTGACCCCCCCCCCCCAAGCACCAAGAAGACAGAGCATCACTTGCCCCAGAGCCCCTAGCTATACCTTGTGGCTAATAGCCACTGATGGACCTCTGCTCCATATGCTTATCTAATTCCCTTTTGAAGCCGTCCATGCTTGTAGCACCCACCACTTCCTGTGGCAGTGAATTCCATGTGTTAATCACTCTTTGGGTGAAGAAGTACTTCCTTTTATCCGTTCTAACCCGACCGCTCTGCAGTTTCATGGAGTGCCCACGAGTTCTTGTATTGTGAGAAAGGGAGAAAAGTACCTCTTTCTTTACCTGCTCTTTCCCATGCATAATCTTATAAACCTCGATCATGTCACCCCTCAGTCGTCTTTTCTCCAAGCTAAAGAGCCCTAAGCGCTTTAACCTTTCCTCATAGGGAAAGTGTTCCAACCCTTTTATCATTCGAGTTGCCCTTTTCTGCACTTTTTCCAAAGCTATAATATCCTTTTTAAGGTGTGGTGCCCAGAACTGCACACAGTATTCCAAATGAGGTCTCACCATTGATTTATATAGGGGCATTATTATATTGGCTGATCTGTTTTCAATACCCTTCCTAATAATCCCCAGCATAGCATTGGCCTTCTTTATTGCAGTCACACACTGTCTCGACATTTTCAGTGAGTTATCCACTACAACTCCAAGATCTCTCTCTTGCTCAGTCTCTGCCAGTTCAGACCCCATCAATGTGTATTTATATTTAGGATTTTTGGCTCCAATGTGCATCACCTTGCACTTGGCCACATTGAACCCCATTTGCCATGTTGACGCCCACTCGCCCATCCTTGACAGATCCCCTTGGAGTGCCTCACAATCCTCACTGGTTTTCACCACCCTGAACAACTTTGTATCATCCGCAAATTTAGCCACTTCACTGCTTACTCCCATCTCCAAATCATTAATGAACAAGTTAAAAAGCAGTGGACCAAGTACTGATCCCTGCGGTACCCCACTGCTTACCACCCTCCACTGAGAAAATTGCCCACCTACACTCACTCTCTGTTTTCTATGAACTAGCCAGTTTTTGATCCATAAAAGGACTTGTCCTTCTATCCCATGATTTTTGAGCTTACTTAGGAGCCTTTGATGAGGAACTTTATCAAAAGCTTTCTGGAAGTCAAGGTAAATAATATCTATTGGATCCCCCTTGTCCACATGTTTGTTCACCCCCTCAAAGAACACTAACAGGTTAGTGAGACAAGATCTTCCCTTACAGAAACCGTGCTGAGTCTGCCTCAATAGGTTTTGTTCATCTATGTGCCTACTAATTCTTTCCTTAATAATGGTTTCCACCAATTTACCCGGTATCGACGTCAGACTGACTGGCCTGTAATTTCCCGGATCTCCTCTGGAACCCTTTTTAAAGATGGGAGTGACATTAGCTACCTTCCAATCCTCAGGAATGGAGGCAGATTTTAAGGAAAGATTACATATCTTTGTCAGGAGATCTACAAGTTCACATTTGAGTTCTTTCAGAACTCTCGGATGTATGCCATCTGGGCCTGGTGATTTTTCAGTTTTTAAGTTGTCTATCAGTTTTAGGACCTCCTCTCTCGTCACCTCAATCTGACTCAGGTCTTTCAACACCCCTCCTGAAATCAGTGGTTCTGGAGTGGGCAAGCACTTCTCATCTTCCACAGTGAAGACGGAGGCAAAAAATGCATTTAGCTTCTCAGCCATTTCCCTATCATCCTTCAATACTCCTTTTACCCCTTGGTCGTCCAAGGGCCCCACTGCCTCCCTGGCTGGTTTCCTGTTTCTAATGTATTTGAAGAAAGTTTTATTGTTGGTTTTTACGTTTTTTGCTATATGCTCCTCATATTCCCTTTTTGCCTGCCTGACCTCAGACTTGCATTTTATTTGCCATAGCCTGTGTTCCGTTTTATCAGCCTCACTGTGACTAGCTTTCCACTGCTTAAAGGAATTCTTTTTACTTTTTACAGCCTCCATTACTCTGTTTGTTAACCATGCAGGCTTTTTCCTATACCTTTTTGTGCCTTTCCTAACCTGCGGAATATATATTTTTTGAGCTTCTAGGATCGTAGTTTTAAATAGATCCCAAGCTTCCCCAATTGTTTTGACCCTTTCTACTTTTCCTTTCAGTTTCCTCCCCACGTGTCCCCTCATATCAGAGAAATTACCCCTTTTAAAGTTAAAAATGGTTGTGTGAGTCTTTTTGGCCAATTCTCTATTTGTACAAATGATGAACTCAACAACATTATGATCACTGTTTCCAAGCGGTGCAATCACTTTTACATCTCTCACCAGGTCTTGAGTGTTACTTAGGACCAAATCAAGGATCGCCTCTCCCCTGGTAGGTTCCGTGACCATCTGCTCCATAGCACAGTCAAGGTTCCCTAATTTACAGATGGCACCTTCCTGCCCTTTGAGCCCGTTGGGTGTAATGGTTAACTGAGGGGACTGGGAGAACCAGGTTTGATTCCCCACTCCTCCACTTGCAGCAGCTGTAAGCCCCTCTGAGACTCCAGGTGAAGAGGGCGGGGTATAAACCCAGTCTCCTCGTTCTTAATTTAAACCCATTATTGTGAGTCTTCTCCTCTGTTGCCAACAGCAACAGCTCCCTGCCTTCCTCTAATTGACAGCCCTTCAAATACTTGAATCATTTTGCCCCCTCTCCTCCAGATTAAAATTCCCAAGAAGTCCCCTCAGCCTGCCCTCATAGGACTTGGTCTCCAGGCCCCTGACCATCCTTGTTGCTCTCCTCTGCACATGCTCCATTCTGCCCACATCCTTTTTCAAGTGAGGCCTCCACACCTGCACACAATACTCCACATGTGACCTGACCAGTCCACTGTACAGTGGGACTCTGACATCTTGTGATTTGGATGTTGTGCCTCTGTTGATACACCCCAACATTGCATTAGCCTTTCGTTGTAGCTGCATCACACTGGCTGCTCATATTTAGCCTTCGTCCACCCGTACCACAAGATCGTGTTCACACACAACACTACCCCATAAGTGTATCCCCCATCCAGTATGCGTGTTCCTCATTTTTGTTACCCAGACGTAGAACTCGGGACTTATCCTTGTTAAATTGCATCTTGTTCAGATCTTGTCAAATTCTATATCTCCTGGTGTGTTCGCTGCTCCTCCCAATTTGGTGTCATCTGCAAAGTTAATGAGCAGCCCTTCCACACCCTCATCCAGATCATTTATAAAAAAAACTATTGAAAAGCACCGAGGCCCAGAACCGAGTCCTGTGGCACCCCACTGGACACCTCCCTCCATTCAGATGAAGTGCCACTGACAACTACTCTCTGAGTGCAATTCTCCAACCAGTTCCCCGCCCACCTAACTATCCTAGAGTCCAGTCCACAGCCCTCTAGTTTACCCATCAGAACATCATGGGGATCCCTCTCAAAAGCTTTACTGGAGTCCAGGTAAACGTCATCAACAGCATTCCCTGGATCCAGTAAGCTCGTCACTCGATCGAAGGAGGAAATGAGATTGCTCTGGCAGGACCTCTTGGGGACAAATCCGTGCCGACTTCCCTGGTTCACCAAGTTGTCTTTTACATGTTCACAGATCAATCCCTTTAAAATCTGCTCCAGTATCTTTCCTGAGACAGAGGTCAGAGGGGCCTGTAGTTTCCTGGCTCATTGCTCCTCCTTTTTTTGACAGCCATCTGGTTTCAAGTCACTCAGTGGCTGCTGGAAGGCCAAGGTCCCAATGTGTTCTCTCCCCCTCAAAAGGCCAAAACAGCCCTGGAAACCCCCTCCCACTCCCGACGTTTACTGGGAAAAGGCAAGGCTCGAAAGCCTGGTGGCAGTAGTGTTGTGGTGGTTGCCGAGCAGAGGCCACTCCACTGAGGGCACTCAGTTCCGAAAGCTACAGGCCCTTTTCCTTTTTGCAAACCTAGGAGGACTTTTCTCAGGATTGCAGACAGACGTCTTTTGTCCATGCCTGGTCCCAACTGCTGGCTTTTAAGTACTGATTTACATCACCTACCTTTCTCACTGTGACTCAAGACAGATGGGGCCAGATTGAGAATTAGACATACTGATGAGGATGATGTGAGGACAGGTCTAAAGCAGAAAAGAATAGAAAGAAAAAGCAGAGCTCTCCTTTATTCCTGACTGGGAAAATACAACAGTGTTCAAGCGCCCTAAAAGCCTCTCTTTTCCCTCCTGTGCATCCTGGTGGGTCACACTGAAGTGCCCTCTGCAGGTGGTTCCGGCAGCGTCTCCTTCTTCTTGTCATCAGGTTTCATGGCAGGAAACAGGAGCACCTCCTGGAAGAGAGAGGACATTGTTCAAAGCTGGCCATCCCCTTCCCCAGAGAAGGTGCCACCGTCGGGGAGTGTGGCCAGAGAGAGAGGAGGCCCAGGGCTCCTGTTCTCACTTGTTTTGAAAACTGATACGCCGCCTCTTTAGACACCCCCACCCCGTCAAGGTGGCTCACAAAAATAAAGACAAAACCATAAAAACATAAAATTAATAAACCCTTAAAATCCAGCCAGTGAAAACCAAGAGCATAAATACTGAGCAGGCCAACTGATCCCCTTTAACAGTTCTCATGCCGGAACCAGATTATACAAACAATTTGAAAAAATCAGCCTTAATAGGCACGAGCCAGTACTTGGAATCGTACCCACAAGCTGGTGCGCCCCCCCCCGCACGGGAGCTGCCCGCCCACCGAGCGCCTGGGGGCTGTGAGGGCAGAAGCATCCCTCTGATCTGTGCCCCAACTGGCAGCCCACTGGCAGCCAGAATGATTTCTTCCAGAACGGGTGAGATCATGTGGCTCTGTGTTTCCTAAATCAATCCATAATCTTAACTGAAGGCACTCCGGGTTCTCAGCCCCCTCCAGGCACAGCAGGAATCCACACCTTGATGTTGTTGGAGTCCGTAAGGAACATCGTGAGGCGGTCGATGCCCATGCCCCAACCAGCTGTTGGGGGAAGCCCGTATTCGAGAGCCATGCAGAAGTTCTCGTCAATGAACATGGCCTCGTCATCTCCAGCAGCTTTGGCCTAGATGACGAACAGGAAAGGAAAGCGGCAAGGGTCATCCCTGGAGCCACTCTCTGGCAGCAAAGGCAGCAAAGCCCTCCTCCCCCCCCCCTTGCCAGAGTTTGCACTCTGATTTTAAGAAGACACCGACAAACCAAAGCCGCTTCACGCTGGCCCAGTTTGAGCAAAGAATGATAGACAAGGCCTATGGCTACCACAGTGGCTTCCCAGACATGGGTTTTCTAGCCTTTGGGCTGGCCAGAAGGGGCCAGATTTGGAACAGAAACTGCTAGCTCCTATTTGTAAAGGTAAAAATTTTCCTGGATTTACAGATTCATGCCAGTGAAACGGGCAACGATCACACATGGCAAATCCCCGCCCTTTCAGCCAGGAGTTAAGGAAGAAACACTCTCAAGGAAGAACCAAGAGAGCTGAAATGCAGCATAAGCGGCACTGAATATATTAAGCCAGTTTAGACAAAGTAGGATCATACATTCCTTTAGCCTAATATTATCTCCTCTGACATACAGTGGCTCTGCCAAAGGCCTCAGTCAGCCTTGCTACAGAAAATCCTAAATGAGATGCAACCTCGTGCATTCTGACGACAAAGTGCATGCTTAGCCACCAAGCTGCGGGTGCTAACAAGGGCAAGAGCTCTCTGATGGGGTTCTGCTTGTTTCATTGTTCCTCCATGCCTTACAGAAGACAGCACAGATTGACCCAATGCCCCTGATGTATGGGGCAGACACAGTGTACAGCAATGGGGTGGGGAAGGGCACTGGAGGAAGAAAGGAGGCAACCCCCAGAAGGTGGTGCTCTGCCTCCGCCTCCAGTGCCCCAAGGAGTTCAGTCAAACTCTGGCACCAAACCAAGAAATGAATGCTCCTGCAGCAGGTTGAGAGGAAACAGCTTAACCCCCCCCCCACACACACACACACAGCCTCTGTTCTACCCCTCCCCCTCCTAAAAGTGACCCTCTAATTCACAGTTGGGAGTGGGAAGAAGAAAGCACATTCCAGTGCGTCACCTTCTGTTGTTTCACCTCAGCCTCCAGCACCCGGAGTTTGGTCAAAGTCTAGCATCCATCCAAGAAAGAGATGCCCGTGCAGGGACCCATTGGGGGGGGGGGGATAGAAGCACAAGTGCACGCATCCTCCCCACTCCCCCCCCACACACACAGAGGCTTGCTCCACAGCTGCTCAGGGCAGCTGAAACACTGTTCTTCAGTGGCACAAGTCCCGTGTTGCACCTTAGCTTGATCTTCAAAGAGCTGGCGCTGCCGAAAAGGGTCATTCAGCTCCGTGTACGCATTGCACACTTCCTTCTTCATCACAAAGAGCTCAAAGCGCTCGGTCAGGCCCTGCTGCAAACGATGCCTGCGCAGAGGCAACGCGGGGGGGGGGGGGAGAAGATGGCGATAGGTCAGAGACGGCCCAGCCCTGCTGCTGCTCTTCCAAGCTCCCCCAGCCCACAATTCTGCACCAGCCCCCACCCTGGCTCTGAGTGGAGTAGACAGATCTCAGGCATACTTGCATTGTCTCCACCTGCAGGACTCGTTTTCCTCCACTTCGCAAGAGTTTAAACCCCGTGCCCCCACCACCCTGCTTAAGAGATTTCTGAAGTTTTCTCCACCAATAATCAACCCTCACTGAGGTTTAGAATTATACAACAAGTGAACTTAACTTTGCACAACAGACCCATTCAAACTTCTGAACATGCACACATCTTTTTATACACTTACCATTTGGCCAAGGGGCTCATGATCTGAGGGTGATCACAGATAAAGGTGGGGTTGATGCACGTCACTTCTAAATACTCCCCAACCAGCTGGAGGGAAAAGGGGTGGGGGGGAAGGGGGGGAGAGATCTTTCAGTTGGACTGCTGTGTGATCTGCAGTGATGTGTCTCCCCTGAGAGCTGAACCACCCCCACTGCTGCCATTCCGCTCTGGCCTAGGAGGAGGACCCGCCAAGAAAGGCCACGGCAGCACAGAGCCAAAGAGACCAACGAGCCACAGCTCAGCGAGTCGCTGGATCTGTTCTGCCAGAAACGCACCAGGATCAGGCCGGAGGTGACGGGGCCCTAGAGAGCCACGGCCAGTCTGAGCCATCGACAGTGCTGACCGTGAGAGGCCAGCAGCCTGACTCCGTACGAGGCCGCTCCATGCCCCCCCCCACTGCAGCCCAAAGCCAATATGAGGGCAAGAGAGCTCTGTCCTTCCTCACAGGGCTGTTGTAGGGATTACACAAGCCTGGGTGGGAAATGTTCTGGACCCTTGAAACTACTTGTTAATGGTAGCAACAGCCTGTGGCAGGCACTGGGTGGGACTGGAATGCAACAGGACAAGCTCAACCTGTCGGTTTAGCCCTTGGACCCGGAAAGAGGCGGCTGGTACCACAAAAGGGAGGCACCTAACTTCCTGATGCCTCATGTCAAAAGTTCACCCACTTGGGTGTGGCCTCCCCTCTGCAGAGTGAGACCCTGAGAGCAGCCCTCCGTCTCTCTCCAGATTTGTCACAGGCCAGCGCCGCTCCCCATCTGTGACACACACACACACGCCCGCCCCCCCCCCCCGGGGGGGATGGTGCCTGCGATTCCGCCCCCCACCAAGGAAAGGACCGGGGGGGGGCGGTCCCTCAGGCTAGATTTATTGGAGTCACAGAAGGCAGCAGGTCCCTGTGCCTGCCTCCTCCCAGCTACAGTGCGGCAGGTGGACGTTCACTCCTACCCACCCTCCCCCCTTCGCAGGAGGTAGAAAGGAGAGAAAGGAAGAGTCGCAGGCTCAAGATTCTGAACTCCGAGACAGCAAGCGCTTGCCCAGCCTCGCCCCCAGTCCTCTTAGGGAGACTCAAGACTGGCCTGCAGAAGCTGCGAGTAGCTCTGGTCAACACAGGCCTGGGCAGCCAGGACCCAATCGGGGAGGGTCCCTCTCCGGGAGAAGAGCCGGATGGCCAGGGTCCCTCTCCACTGACCTTATCGAGGAGCCGGGCCGTAGTCCGAGGCGATGGACACTCGACCCCTCTCTCTTCACAGAGAGCATCAAAGAATTTGCGAGTCTCTGTGGACCCAAGGCAGAGATATTACTGAAGCCACGGCTTGTATGTTTCCCCCCCCCAAGAAGAGTCAGGATCAGGCCCTGGGAACAGCCATCAACAAGAACCCAGCACCAGGCATAACTGCCGTGCCAACATGGAGCCAGAAAGGCCGTGCCGACAATCCGCCTGACGCTCCTGGCATGCTCCCAGACAAAGGCCTTGCAGTCCGCCCCTTCAATTTCCCACGCAGGATTCTGTGCAGCAGCCAGTACTGGGCCCATTTTCTCCGCAGCCAATAAGGGGGGAGAGAAGGGGCTGTAGGGAGGCTGCCCCTGTCTGCCCTCCTCACCTTCTGTCTCGAACTGGTCTGCCCCAGGAAGTGTCACCCCCAAGACTCTCTCCAGCTCGCCCACCATGCTGATCCTCCGGAAGGGCGGAGTGAAATCTATTTCACAGGCCTGGCCTTCAGGGCCTTCAGGGTGGTATGTGACCTTGTAACCCCCTGTGACGTGCTTCACCATCCCTGCAGAAAGGAAAAGAGCTGCACTTCATGCCTGCACATGCTAGTCTGCTTCCCGCATAGGACTCCCACTCAAGCCACCACCACCCCAGGGCACCAACCTGAAAGCAGCTGCTCGGTGATCTCCATCAAGTCATGGTAATCGGCATACGCCATGTAGAATTCACAGGTGGTGAACTCTGGGTTGTGTGTCAGATCGATTCCCTCATTCCGGAACTGGCGCCCGATTTCATAGACCCTGTCCATTCCTCCAACCACCAGCATCTAAAACACAGAAAGCCACCTTGGTCTCCCCTTGCGAAATGAAGCAGAGTTGCTGACGGAAGGATCGCTTGACGCGGGGACACGCCTCCAAGAGCTCCTCCGTATTAATCTGTCTCCCAGAGGGCAGGCCAGCTCCCCCAGCCCGTGGAACTCAAGAGGAAGCAACGATAACTCAGCGAGACCCGGGGGTTCTGTTCTTTGGTATAAGGCTGAAGGGGGATGGAATCTGAGGCTTTTCCAGAGCACATCCAAGAGAGACAGCTGGGATCTGGTTCACCTGCACGTGGGTAGCAGCAGTCAAGGAAGTCTGTCCGCGTGGAAGACTGATACAGGAAGTATCCCCCACCCCCCCCAACTAAGAAGCAACCAAACAAGCAATGGAACCCACACAGAGTCCAATGACCTGCCCTACGTGTGGTTTGACCTGCTCTGTGCTGGAACGCTGACACCACGAGACCAGCAGAAAGCCCTGGCTGGGATCTTCCTCCCCACCTGTGTCTCAGGCCAGGCAAGCACCACTTCCCAGCTTCCTGACGGCTTCCCCACTTATTGGGGGGTGGGGAGAGAAGCAAGTTTCCAGACTCCTCCTGGACAAACCACTGCAGCATTCTAGCATTGTAGCTTTCTGGCACCTTCACAATACAGCATTACACGTCTCGTTATTTGAAAGAAATGAGGGGGAAATCGTGTCAACAATTTTGATTTAACATTTTATCAGACGGTCTGGGTCTAGCTCACGGCAAATGGCCATAACAATTTCAGTATTCCTATCGGTCAGTGAGTGGCTGAGGTCAAAGCATCTTTATGTTTATCCTATTTTTAATTATTTACATGTTTACCGATCATAATCTTAAAAAGACCAGTCTTTTTTGGTGTTTAAATCTTCCACAGATGTTCTGCTAAGCACCTCCATGCTGAATAAGTCTCTCCAGTTGTGCAGCAATTTCTTCATTGTCATCTCCTGCCCCTTGCTCCAGGGCGTGGCACCCTGTGCCCATAATATCCCTGGCTACCAAAGCATCGTGCCAAGCAGGCCATGGCTTGCCCACCCTGAGACCTCACCTTGTGATAGAGCTCTGGTGCTATCCTCATGTACAGGTTCATGTCCAGTTCATTGTGGTAGGTGATGAAAGGCTTCGCCACAGCCCCACCAGGAACGATGTTCATCATGGGAGTCTCCACCTAGCAGAGTGGGGGGGGGGGAACCAACAATGCACATCCTCCTCTCTGTCACACAGCAGCCCCCAGGGCCACCCAAGTGCTCTACAGAAAAGGTCTGGCCCTCCAGGGTTTTGAGAGAGAAAGACCCCTTTTCAGCAGTTCCCCAAACCCGAGAGAAGAATAAACTATTACTATCCTAAAAGCCCTTTGCATTTAAGACATGCAGGACTTTAAACCCAAGCGCATGATACGTCATAACAAAATCAGCGAAATCCACCAATAATTCCAAATGTGTTTACTGGACCCAGAGCAGAACTGATTTAAAACAGAACATGAAATGACATCCAAAGGACAGCTAATCGCGAACAAGACGGCGGGGGGGGGGGGGGGAGGACACTTACCTCCAAAAACCCCAGCTCGTCTAGGAAATTCCGAATGTACGTTATAATCTTTGCCCGAATAATAAACTTTTGCCTCACAAAATCATTAAGAATTAAATCCAGGTATCTCTGCCGAAATCTGGTTTCCTGAAAATAAAATGTCTAGGTTTAGAGCGCACAAAAAAGGGGGGGGGGGACTGAAATATTCTTGGGATGTCCCCGAGACCCCACTCTGACAAACACCTTGTCCTTGAGCCCAAAATGAAGGTGAGGCAGCATGTGCAGGCAGGGGGAGAGCAGGGTGATCTCGGAAGGGATTATGCTCAACTCCCCTTTCTTCGTCTTGCCGGGGCTCCCCTGAACCCCAATAATGTCTCCACGCCGGAGTTTGCTGTTAATGCCCAGATACTCCTCTTCTGATTTGTAGTTTCTGAAATTCAAGAGAAGAAAAAAGGTTGACGGATGGACTTGTAGGTGGGTGGGTAGAGCCTAGCCTTCCTCAGGAGTAGAAAGGTAGACCTTTTAAAGATTCTGCTCTTTTCACCTCTGTTTGAACCGGATCCTCACATGTTCACCCTGAAAACAGCCATTCTGGCATGGCTCATACCTTCTGCAGTGAGGACAAACACAAATAACCCATTCACATTCTCTACATTCTCTCTGTCTCCCTTTAGTGATACTGCGCGCCTTCTATGTCACCCAATACCCAACCACTGTCTTGCTTTGAATGTATTTAAACAAATTCTTATTGTTTGTCTTGCTATCCTGCTAACTTACAATTATTTTGCTGGGGGCCATGTTCCTCCTCAGCTGGGCAAGGCCTCCACTTGACTCTGCCTGTTCATCTCACTGGCGTCAACTTAAGAGCCAATGGTGCTTTTCCTAATCTGTGTTATACATCCTGAGTTTCATGGACTGTAGATTTACAGAGCAGTCCCCTGCCCTGGAACTGAAAGTGCTTAGGGAGCTGATGAAGCTTTACACGGCATCACCTAAAGATGCAGCAAAGCAGTGGCCGGGTGCCCCCTGCAGCCCCCCTTCCCCCTGCAGCCGGGCACCAAAGGCAGCCCAGCATGCCCCACCCCCCCCGCCCCCCCGGCTGCAGAAAGGGGTGGGCCCAGGAGCATAGCTGGAGCTAGCAGGCTTGCTAAGTCTCTCCAGCCCCGATGTGTCCCTCACAGCAGCTGGGGTGAAGTTATGCTGACAAAAGGCATGGCGTGGCCCACCGATGCCCATGCAAGGGTGCCCTGCTATGGCCACTATCCCACCCACAAGCGCAGCCAGTCACAAACCCCCCTCACAGCCCCCCAGCACTAGATACACCCCAGTCAGACTGCAGACAGGACACACAATGCAGGACTCCAAGATCCCTGACGGGCACACTTTGCATACGCGAGGTGGTAGACGCCGAGCACCAGAGAGGGAGATCCTGGCACCACCCCCACCCAAGGGGAAGAGCAAACATCCCTCCTTGCTGTGTGATGAAATGTCTCAAGGGGGCAACCCCCCCCCAACAGGTGAGCAGGGGCAGGAATCCAGCACCCTCTGACGGGGAGTCTGCTGCCGCCTTCCTCTCCCCCCCCCCCCAGGTGGGGCCCCAACCATTCAGACACGCCCAGATGAGACCTGCAGCAGCAGCAGCAGGCACCCACGGGGCTAATACCAGGCGGCTGAGCCCAGCAGGATGCCCCATGGCCAGCCTTAGAAACCTGAAGCTTCTCCTCCAAGACCACAGACTCACATTTCTCATCGTAAAAGGTACTGGGTGGCCCACGACTGCTGGCTCCTGTCCCACACTACCATCCAGGCAAGTCAGTCACCAGGGGGGCCCTAACCCTTCCCAAACCCACCTCTCTGCTTTCCTGATCATCACGCTGCTGACTACCAAGAACGCAACATCCAGCGCAAGAACACCCAGTGCAATCCAGAAGGGGTAACTTCAGCACGAGAGAGAGAGTTGGATAGCCGGTTCTCCTCTCCTCAGCTAATGCCTTCCTACCTGGAGACCCTAATTTTTCTTGACAGCAGAGGAAATGTTAGCACGCCTCTGTTAACCTCAAGAAAGCAAAAGTATTCTCCAGAAACGAGGCGCTTGTTGCATCTAGCACATACTGATAACATCTGTCCCACAGGAACCTAATCGTGCACAAGACACTGAAATATGGTGGATTCCCCCCCACCCCCCCACCCAGCCTCCAGCACTGGCACCAAAGAGCCTGACGAGGTAGGCGTGATGGGGCAAGGGAACCAGGGCACCTGGTCCTCTCAGGAAGAACCCGTTTTATAAGAACGTCAACATTTCAGTTGAATTTCAGCTTTCAGTTTGAAAAAACTGCTGAAGACATAGCTAACTAAAAGGCTAACAAAGGCAAAGTAGTCTTGTACTCGTAGTTGTTTTAGTCTTCTTTACTTTAAATATTTATATGCCCACCTTTCTCCCAGGCATCCCAGGACCCAAGTTGGCATAGGGCAGCTATGTATTCGTCTAAGTCAGGCTGTTGTGCCGTCGAGTTTAGCATTGCCTATTTGGAGTGCAGCAGTCTTCCAGGACCTCAGGCAGAGAAAGGCTGCTCTCTCCAACTGCTACCTGAGATCTAACTGGAGAGCTCAGGGGATGTCTACGGGATCCTCTCCAAGCAAGGCAGGATGTGCTCTATTACGAAGCCCCAGTGCCTCCTCCAAAGGGGAAGAACTAGAGGCAAGGTTCTACTGTCTTTGAAATAACAGAGCTGTTGTGAAAAGTGGACAAAGTTAACTCAATGACATTACATTCATTTGAATGACAAGGTAACCCTTACTAGGTAATCCTGGTTCGTGGACAAAAGGGGTACTCTCCGTTTACCAATACAAAGACACTGGGACAAAGAGGCATTATTTGTCACTTAACAGGTTCACATTTGCTACATCAGAATAAGGAACACTGATGATTGTTACAGTTCTAATGTATTTTAACTTTTCAGTGTGAGCCACCCTGGGCCTGCCTCGGCAGGGAGGGCAGGATACAAATCAAATCAAATTAATTAATTACCCTGCAGCCCCCCACCCCCGCACTCTGCTCAGCCTGGCCGTTCCAGCCCCCTCCCCGAGGCGGAGCCTTGTGCCCAGCAAGCCCTTCCGCATTCCACCCGCGGTGGTGATGGTGGTGATACCAGATCCACCGAGGCGCAAGCCACGCAGGGAGGGAATCCTCCACCCTCAGGGCGGAAGGGGACACTCTGTCCTCCTCACCTGCGCCATGGATTCCAGGGCAATGCAGTCGATGTTGTGTCACAAGCGTGTCTCTGCTGCTGGGCTTCTGCTACATGATAGGAGCTCCACACCCCTCCCTGCCCCACGCCCTCCCCACCTGCCACTCCCCCCGCGGGCTTCCTGGAGACGTGTCTCAGAGGGAGGGCTCTGGGGTGCTGTGGGTGGCTGGGGAGGACGGCATCTCTGCAGGGGGCACTGAGGGCTCGGGGGGAGCCACTGCATTGGACGGACTCAAAGTATTCGGGGGGGGGTGAGAATGCAGGGGGACTTGGCCATGGGGCATACTGGCACGTTGGAACGACAACTGAGAATGGGGGTCTCCCGAGCTGTCCTTTTCCACCCCCCGCTGCCACATGCAATGGCATCTGCCCTGGGACTGGCTGCTGCCATCGGCCTGCAGTGCCCTACCCCTTGAGAGCCAGTTTGGTGTAGTGGTTAAGTGTGCGGACTCTAATCTGGGAGAACCTGGTTTGATTCCCCACTCCTCCACTTGCACCTGCTGATGTGACCTTGGGTCAGTCACAAGCTCTGGCACAGCTGTCCTTGAAAAAGAGCAGTTTGTGTCAGAGTTCTCTCAGCCCCACCCACTTCACAGGGTGTCTGTTGTGGGGAGGGGAAGGGATGGGGGTTTGTAAGCCGCTCTGAGACTCCAAGTGAAGGGCGGGGTATAAATCCAATCTCTTCTTCTTCTTCTTCTTCCCCTGCCTCAGCACTATGCCACAAGGCCACGCTGCGTTGGAATCACCATGGATGTGGCCTTGCAAGCAGACAGCTACACTCCTTCCCCCCACCCCCACCCTGCGCTCTGCTTCAGTGTAGCTTGCCACTTAGGGAGCTGACTAGCAGCGCAGGTGTGGCTCAGGATTACTCTGTCACGCTCTTACAATCCCTCTAGCGATGGTTACCTGGAGTTGGCCATAACTTGTAACTTAACTCCCTCTCCACGAAGATCGTAGAAGATCAGCTTCCCTCCAGAGGCACGTTTAGCATGGATCCGACCTACAGGACAAGTTACAGCAGGACATGGAAGGCTTTCCCACATGCACAGCCGAGGCAGCACCATAGTAAAAAGGCGCGACGAAAACATAAAAACCATCGCGGGAGCAATGAAAGTGTCTACGGGGGAGCCTACGCTCAGTGGTAGAGTCCCTGCTGTATGCGTGCAGAGGATCTGCTCCAAACATCTCCAATAACAAATAAAAAATGATCCTTCTGATCCAAAACCTTGGAGATCTGCTGCTAATCCAGAGACAACGTTAAGTGGCTCAGCTTGCTAAATCACCATAAGGCAACTTCGTGTGTCTTCGGTGGTGGTGGACTTATGGCAACCCCATGGGGGTTTCAAGACAACAGACAAGCACAGGTACTTTGCCATGGCCTCTGCACAGCAACCAGGGCCAACCTTGCTTAGCTTCTGATATCTGGCAGGATCAAAAGATAAAAGTGCAGCAAGAAGAGCATCTGAGAACAACCTAGGCTAATCTCACAGAGTGGCGGCGGCTGACTGGCTAGAGCAGGAGACCTCAGCATGGGTCACGAGGTTCCACCGCTGCCCCCCGCCTGGCCCCGATGCGGACCACACTTGTCTGCAGAGGTCCTCTTAGAGCACCACATTAATCCACCATCACCCTCCAAGGGAAGCCCTGTCAGGTGTGAGGAGTAAGCCTTTTACCTGCCACTCTTAGCGTTACATCAGTCAGGTGATCCCCTGCCTTCAGGTGGCTGTACTTCTCTATGAAATCTGTAAGTGACAGATCCACGTGGAACTTGTGTGGGTAGGGGTCTTCAGGAGTGCCCTTCAGCAGCTGGATGGCCTGGCTGCGGATCCTGTAATATTGCTGCCGGAAGAAAGGGGACGACAATAATCCGATTAAGCCTCGCTGCTGAAGATCGCATGGTCGTTCCACGGCAAAAGTCGAAGCGGGGCCGCGACCGCCGACCCCCCCCCCCGCGCCGGAAGTATCCCCCTTCTCCGACAGAGACCGGAAACCCCCGGGCAGGGGGGGGGGGGGGATCCGCCTGCACGGACACGCGGCCTCACTGAGCGGGCCCGCGCTGGCGCCAGGTCGGCTCCCGCGCCACGTGGCTGGCGCTTCCCCGGGCGGGCGGGCGGCGCGGCAGAGCCTCCCCCCCCCCCCCCCCCCCCCCCCCCCCGGGCCGGGCC